AAGGTGCCCCCCCCCTCCCCCCCCAAGTCTGGGAGAGCATGTTTGCTCCAGAACTGCTGATCAAAAGAATGTGGAAATAAAATGACCTCTCGGTTACGGGAACAGCATGTGAACCATTTAGACACAATTTTGAAAAATTCATTAGAAGAAAATGTGTTTACTGTCTCGGACAGTCCAAATGAAGAAGGCACGCAGGCCAGGCCATGGTAAAAGGTGGGTACATTCGAAGGGAATTAAGAGTGTCAGCATTCATTACATCCATCCTCATCTGCGTCCTCCTGCAGGCTAAATGCTATTATCAAGACAAGCTGCGGACACTTTGTATCTCTGTAAACAGCCGAAGCCATTGCTTCCCAGGATTTCTGAAACACGAATCTCAGAATAGTTTAATTTGGAAGGGACCCATGGAGGTCAGGTCTGGGGCATCTCTCTGGTCCCACCACCTGCTCAGAGCAGGGACAGCGTCAACCGTGCAAAGGTTTTCCTCAGGGTCTCGTTCAGTCAAGTCTGAATATCTCCAAGGGAGGAGGTTGGACAGCCTCTCTGGGCAACCTGCGCCTGTACTTCGCCCTCAACTGTAAAGATTTTTCCCTTTTATGTAGTTGGACTTTCATAGAATCATTGAACCATTAAGGTTGGAAAAGACCTCCAAGATCATCGAGTCCAACTGTCAACCCAACACCACCATGCCCGCTAAACCATGGCCCTAAGTGCCTCATCTACACGTCTTTTAAATACCTCCAGGGATGGGGACTCAACCGCTTCCCCAGACAGCTTGTTCCAATGCTTAACCACTATTTCGGTAAAGAAATTTTTCCTCACATCCAATCTAAACCTCCCCTGGCGCAACTTGAGGCCATTTCCTCTCGTCCTTTCGCCAGTTACTTGGGAGAAGAGACCGACACCCACCTCGCTACAGCCTCCTTTCAGGTAGTTGTAGAGAGCGATGAGGTCTCCCCTCAGCCTCCTTTTCTCCAGGCTAAACAACCCCAGCTCCCTCAGCCGCTCCTCATAA